CTACCATTGGTTGCAAATGGGTATACAAAATCAAAACTTGTTCTGATGGATCTATTGAGCGCTACAAAGCCCGCCTTGTTGCAAAAGGCTTCAACCAAGAATATGGTATTGACTATGAGGAGACCTTTGCTCCTGTTGCTCGTCTCACCTCTATTTGCAGCCTGATTGCGGTTGCTACCACCCGACAATGGGATCTTTATCAAATGGACGTGAAAAATGCTTTCCTTAATGGTGTTCTTCTTGAGGAGGTGTACATGCAATCTCTCCCTGGGTCTACTTATCCACCTCATAAAGTCTGCAAACTTCAGCGTGCTTTATATGGTCTCAAACAAGCTCCGCGCGCTTGGTTTGCCAAGTTCAACTCTACTATTCATGACTGTGGTTTCACCTCCAATTCTTATGATACTGTTCTTTTTATCTAGAAAACTGTTCAAGGAACCACCTTGCTTCTCCTTTATGTGGATGATATGACTATCACCGGTGATGATATTGATGGTATTCTTTGCCTTAAACAGTTTCTTAACCATCATTTTGAGATGAAAGACCTTGGTCCTCTCAGCTATTTCTTGAGTCTTGAAATCTTCCATGATTCCACAGGGTCTTTTTTCTCTCAGGCTAAGTATACCTCTGATCTTCTCACCCGCACTGGTCTTACAGATTGCAAGACTGCCTCCACTCCTCTGGAGCCTCAAAGTCGTCTTACACCTTTTGATGGCACTCTTCTCTCTGATGCTACCTTATATCGTCAGCTGGTTGGCAGCCTTGCCTGTCTCACTGTTACTCGTCCTGATATTGCCTATGCCGTTCATATTGTCAGCCAGTTTATGTCAGCTCCTTGTACCCCTCATTATGCTGCATTAGTTCGTATCCTTCGTTATCTCAAAGGTACCTTGTTTCATGGACTTCATTATTCCGCCCGCTCCTCTATTCAGCTTCGTGCTTTTTCCGATGCTGATTGGGCTGGAGATCCTACTAACCGCCGCTCTACTACCGGGTTCTGCTTTTTCTTGGGTGATTCTTTTATTTCTTGGCGCAGCAAGAAACAATCTTTGATTGCTCACTCCAGTACCGAGGCCGAATATCGTGCGCTTGCTGATACTACTCCGGAGCTTCTCTGGCTTCGTTGGCTTCTTACTAACATGGGTGTTTCCCCCTCTGGCGCTACTGCCCTCTTTTGTGACAATCAAAATGCTTTTCAAATTGCTCACAATGATGTTTTTCATGATCGCACCAAGTACATTGAGATTGACTGCCATTTTATTCGTCAACACGTCACTCGTGGTATTGTCCATCTCCATCCAATCTCCTCTGCTGATCAACCTGCTGATATCTTCACCAAAGCTCATTCTCCTGGCCGCTTCATTGACCTTGTCTCCAAACTCCAGTTGGTTGATGTTTGTTCTCCTTGAGTTTGAGGGGTGCTGTTAATATATTAATATAATGTTAATATAATATGTTAATATATTATAGTATGTATAATATAATTGTCATACAGCTAGCTAGATAGGATTCATTTTCTTTGTCCCTGCTTTCGGTCGCCCGTCTTCTTTCGGCCTCCTTTTCATTATTATATTGAATTGTATCATAATGATGTTTTGTAACACAACTTCTATGTAATGGAGCCTCTATTTGGTTTTTGAATATAGATTGAACAACAGAGTTTACTCTTTCAATATCACTCTCTCAACTTATTTTACAATGTATATACCTAATTTTTTATATAATATAGTATGCGAGTGATTTTTCGATCACACTGCCAACTTAGTTACTTAACTAGAAAGTACTGGCAGAATAGATGACACCTGGCTAACCTGCAACAGAAAAAGAAGATTCCAGCGGTGGTTCGTCCACTCGGGGGCACTCCGACGATCAAGTCAGTATATCTCTCAAAGATAATCAATAGTGCTAAACTCACTGTTCTGAATATAAATTGCGTACCTTAGACCCATCGGGGGTGTCTCTCTTTTATAGTTAACTCAATCTTTGTCTCACTAGAAGCCTAGTTTCAATGGACTCTTGCTCAGTGCTTATCCTGGACTCTCCAAGAGATAAAGATAAACTCCCTAAGATCTTTATCCTTGTCCATGCTAACGTCCTTCTTTATTTTAGGACTCTCGTCCCTTATCCGCTTATCTCGGATTTCGATATCTTCTGAGATAACCTCGACCTAACCAAGATAACATCGGCGTCATAATCTGGACACGTGACACTTCGACTGACACGTGACGACGTGTTAGGACTCAAAAAATATACCCCCACATATAATATAAAATGATTGCTCGAGATTTAAATTCATAATATGAAACTTATTAGGCCAAAATTTTATTGCCAAGATTTCGTCATATAACTTCTAAAAATCAACGAGCAAAACAGTTGATGGGATTTACAAACGTACTGAAGTTGAAAATGTACGAAGCGATGTGGGACACTGGCGGGCGGTGTTGGGTCAAGTTTGACTTTCAAAATCAAAAAGTATAAAATTTTAAAAACGTGACTAAGTAATAAAATACTATACTATAAATTTATAATTTATATGATTATGTTTATAACTTTTTGTTTTATTTAAAGACTTTATGACAAAACGTTTGGTGTAGTCTCTATTAGCGTTGCAAATGAATAAAGTCGTTCATGAACAAGTGAAATTGTTCAAGGTCAGAATGTATCTAATAAAGTTAATGCGTAGTTCTTTCGTATCATACATGGACAAGTTATGGGATCAGATTAGCTGGCTCGTTTAATATTTATTATTTATATATTAAATAATATAAAATTATGTATAAAAAATAAGAGAAATATGCTATTTATATATTTAAAAAATATAAATGTAAATAATACTTAACTATAGATAGTATATTTATATAATAGTGGTAGTAGATATTATTATTTTAGTAAAATATAGACTTTTTTTTAGTATGTTTATATATATTGTATATATAATTGTATAATCCAAGTTTTAATTGTAGTTTTAGTCTCACATGTAAGTATGAATTTATAAATTTTTTAACTCGTTAAGGTTCGTGAACAGGCTCGAGCTTGAGTCGAGCCTAAGCCAACTCGGCTCGAGCTCGGTTCGTTAAATTTTTATTCAGTTCGAGCTCGAGCTCAAGCTCATTAAAATCTTAATAAACAAGTCCAAACACACTAAAGCTCGGCTCGGCTCGTTTGCGGCCCTAGTCTCTATAGACAATTTCTTAGACAAAAATAGTTTAAAAAAATTAAAGAAATTTAAAAGTTGAAAAAAATATGATTTTAACTTTTGTTCTTTGACTTTACCAAACATTTTAAATAAATTTAGTTCACATATTTTATTCCAAGATATAAAGTTCCATTGAAGAACATGCCAAGGAATGGAAATGCTTTGCAGAAAATACTTCCGATAAGGATAAATATTAAAGAGAAATAATCAAATACATAGAACATAAAATATGTGATTCCATAATACACCTGCATCTAAGCATAATTCCGGAGTTTCAACCTCTCAATTTAACTACTATATAACGCTGTCACATTCTCATATAGAAATCTTACTAATACAAGAAGCACCTCAAAAAACTTTGCCAGTGTAATAGCCACTGCCTCCTGTCCGTCTTTATAAAAATCTTTTATCATAGATTTGAGAGTACAGTTAAAATATATAATTTTGAAACTACACTAGCTTCTGGGGCTGGGATTCCTTGAGGAATGAGAGGAGGATATCATACCCACTGAAATTGGAAAAGTCAAACGTAACAATTTGGTTTGGGGGTTTCCAAGGCCCACAAACAAAACTAAGTCTAACATTAGGTTTTGTTTGGGAATTAAATATTTTAATTAAAAAGTCATTATAAATTATTATTATTTTTTTTTAATTTTTTTTATATATTTTTATGTAAAAATTTAAAAAATTATTAAAATAACATATTTTTAAAAGAGACCTAATGATTTTGAAGTATTGCTTAATATTATTTATATCTTGACATTTATTAAGTTATTTTTTAAAATCAAACAGATACACCTAACGACACCACATAATTAATGACTCCTTCCCTCTCTCTTTCCTCACTCATTTATATCAATTTGCTGACGCATTTTGGACGACTTGCTCTGTAAGTCTGAATTGACCCGACCCATTTTTTTGCCCCACCCACCATCCATGTACACATATCTCTATTTGGTTTTATTATTATTTTATCTCAATTTTACTCTACCATAAATGTTATCGTTCTTTTTGTACAAGTCACTTGGCTAAATCAGAGACTTTTTACTCAACTAATATTTTAAATTTAGAAGTTGATTTTGTAACCTTTAGTCGAAGAAAGCCCAACTATATTATATACTAGGAAGTGCATAAGGAACGAGGGGCAAATTTTGGGATCAAAGGATCCCTCACGTCCCGTCAGATATAATTTGGGAGGTCATTTAGGCATACTAAATACTCTGCTTGAAAGAGCTAAAAAATCACATTTTTATTCTCTTTTTTTGTGTGTGTGTGTATATGTGTGTCTTTAGGATTTTTTTTTTTAATAATTATGTAAAAAAAATTACTTTTCACGTTTATTTACTTTAGAATGATCTAAACAATTAAAAGTTCTGAAAAAATTCAAAAAAAAAGTCAACTGTTTTTGCTTTTTTGTGGATTTAAAAAAAAATTAACATTACAAGTCTGTCTAGTTTAGTAAGATTAGAAAGTAAATATAATTTTCGTAAATCTTACACAAAACAAAAAAATTCAACAATAAAAGGCTACTTAAAAAAATAATTGCCAAACTCACAGTAATTAATATTGATAATAATTCCAAATGCTTTTCAGACATCCAATTAGAAAAATGTGTGAACAACTTTAGGATAGATGAAACTTGGTGGGTTGATAAACTGGTCAAAGACAATTGAAGACTGGGAATTAATCTCATGGAAAAGTGGACATATTTGACCTTTAGGCAATAAAGTTTCATTTTGATTTGATCTAAGCTTGGCATCATCATGCATGGTTGGTGGTGTGGATTCAATTCACAAAAATAAGCTATCTAAAAATAAAATTTAAGTTAGTTCATTTAGACTGATGTTTACATGTATTCATGCGTACATGATATACATAATAACCTATGCATTTTGTGTTGCATAAATGGTCAAATCCTTAACAACATCATAGGAATCATTAAGGGTGTTTTGGATAATGGTTTTTTGCAATTGTTGAAAGTCAAGATGGTGGGTGGTGAAAGGAGGAGATCTCTGATATATGACAGAGGCAGCTCTGATAAGAATGCTTGCAGTTAATCCTCCTATCAGAAACCCTCCTTGCTCTTCTGTTTCATAGTCAAATAGATGCCTTGTGTACTTCCAACTCCTCCATTCCCTCTCTTCACATCTATGACTCTCTTCCTATTATCATCCAAATTAAAATTAAAATAAAAAATAAAAACTTTTAATAAAACATTTCATAGTTAAGAATAAGAATAAGAATACTTTTATACAATAATTTCACAAATATAAAATCAATTATAAAACCAATCACATAATATAATGGCATATCGGACCATTGGGGAAAGAGATTTCTCCACTTATATTTTCTGAGATCAGTTTTGTAATTAATTTTGTATTCATTGAATTATAATCCAATAATTTTATGGATACAAAACGGATCACAAAAAATAATGATGGTTATACATGTCTAAAAATGGGGTTGCCACTGAAGAAGCTCCTCCCCTGGCATCATTCCACTCATGTAAGAGATTGTTACTCCCGTTATGATATTTACTTGTTTTTATTTATTTAATCAAGTATGTGATTGGTTGTGTCCGTTAAATAATTCAAAAATTTTACATACATAAATTCAATTACAGAAGTGATGGTAGCCATACATATTAGACGGTGGGGCTATCACTGAAGAGGCTACTTCACTCATATTGTTTCACTTGTATTTTTTGTTATCGATTTCAGAATTGATTCTCTATTTATAAAATTATTAAATTCTATATTTATACTGACACATAAACCAATCATATAAAATAGGAGGAAATTTCGGACATAGTGACAATGATATAAAAAATGACTGATCTGACAAATACCCATTATAAGATAAATACCTACCAGACCTCACCAATATATAAAAAAAAAATATTTTACTTTAGTCATTACCAGCTGAATGTCAGCTCGTAAAGTATTACTCTAAAAATAATGATAGCCATACACATGACATGGTGGGGCTTATTACTAGAGAGGTTACTCTATTCACATTGCTTTTCTTTTTTGTAAGAAAAATTTTATTTATACAACAAAATTAAGACAAAAATTATGTAACAATATTATTAGTGTAAATAAAAATATATATATATATATATTTTTTTTGTATGAATAGACATGTAATTATTGAAGAATATCGTGATAGGATAGTATATATGACCTTGATAAACATCTCCAAAGGGGCATCAAAAATGGCATCAACTTCATCAACATTAGGTGCGGCCTTGAAATCTCCAATTCTGGATAATAGGCCTACAACTGGTACCACAATAACTCGGTGCTGCACAACCCCCCACATCATAGAATAAGAAAATAATATGCAAATTAACTGAAATTAAACTATTATAGATCTTCATCATCATACTTTGTTTTTTTTTTTATTGTGTTTTATGAGGATTTGTTGAGGACATGAAAAAAGAAAAAAAGAAGCAGAGGATCATACATGTTTGATAACTGTTTTTGTTGTTAGAAATTGAGTTGTAATAAAATTGGATAATAGATCCCTTTATGTATAACCAAAAATGTTAATGTTTCTTGTTTTTTATTTAACTAAAAACTGACAACGTTATCAAATTATCTAAATTATTTGATTTCTCGTTCATTAAAAAAACCTGGGAAAAGAAAGGCTCTAGATTTGCAACAACTTCAACTAGAGAAGGATCCAGGCCAATCTCTTCCATGGCTTCTCGTAGTGCAGTTGCTGAGTCATCTGCATCTCCTTCCTCTACCTTCCCACCAGGCAGTGCTACTTCTCCTGTGTTTTATTAGATTATTCAGTATTAAAAATGGTGCATCAAGCAATACAAATCAATACTTGAATGTGGTCATGAATTTTTTAAGGATAAATTACAAATACACCCCCTGAGATTTGTTTAAAATACGAATTGTCCCCAATAGTTTGGAAAATTACAAACACTCCTTGTTAAAATTTTTTATTTAACAGAATTAATTGAAAAAGTGAAATTTCTAACTGTACACCTATATAATAATAAAATTATCTAAATTATTAATTAAAATAAAATTTTAATATTATTAAAAACTGTTAATTAACTTGATGATTTATTAATAAAAGGACATATTTATTATAAAATTAGAAAACTTAGGAGGGATAATGTAATTTTCATTCTGATCAGTATATGAGATATATCAGTATGCAGAAGCCAAAAACACCACTAAATACCATGATTGATAAATTAAATCCCAATGTTTTGAAATCTCACCAAAATACTTGGTACAAGTTTTGTTGGCATCCTCAAAAGACATAAAAACCAAAAATGGCTCAAATTTAAGAAAACAAAAATAATTGATAAAAGCTTGAATTTTAAGTATCAATCTATATGTTTCAGGATTTTATGTTTTTGATACCGATATTCACCAATATATCAATAAATACTATTCAATATTAGCGGATATATACACGGAAATTACATTACCGGGGTGGGAGGACAGATTCATGGATCTTTTGGTAAGAATGACCCGTAATTCGCCCCCGGGGCCTTCAAAGAGGCATACCAAAACAGCAGCTCTCCTCTCTTTAGTTGCCACAGACTCCATGATCTTAGTAATATTTGACGAACTCATCATAACATGATCATGATTAGCATTCTCAATCTCTCCATTAAAACTAGGTGGTCTGTAACACCGAAGCAGCTTCGCAAGACTTTGGAGTTTTTCACTGTCATGGGTCTTTAGGGTTTGGCATCCCACTTCAGTGTCCATGCATGCAGAGGCTGCAATGCAAGCCATTGCAGAACTTGATTGTTTTGGTAAAGTTTTGAACATATTTTGTGGCCTTTATAGAGAACCATTGTAAGGAATAAACTCATCAAGCATGTGCCCTATGTTACTAAAAGCATCTCTGGAAGGCTCTTTAAAAAAAGTTCATTAGTTATTATAGATGGTATCATCTTATTTTAGTCATTCTAATATACTAATTATTACAATAGTTAGTTTAATAAAATTCATCAAGGCTAACTATATTTAGAGATCTTAGAAGGCTCTTTAAACAATTTGTGTGAATAAATAAGTAAAATAATGAAAAATTTATTTATAAATCTCATTTTGAGAAGTTGTGATCCATTTAGTCCTAAGAATTTTTTTATAGACCAATTAGTTCCATTGATTTTGAAAAAGTAGATTTAATATATCATTTAAAAGTTGAATTTACGGTATACGCTTATTTCTACTATTTTATTTTATTTTATTTTTGTTCTAGAAATGTAAGGTATACAATATATGAGAATCAAATTTAAGATGAATTTTTATTAGAATCTTTTTATTTGAAAAATATTTCAAAAGGAATACGAAAATGACTTAAAATATGAGATTCTTCAAACATTTCAAAAGGATGTGAGATTCTTCAAACATTTTAAAAGGAGTATAAAAACTCTTTAGTAAGTTTTGAACAAATATATAATTTCAAACTATAATATTCCAATGTAACAATAAAATAAAAAAATCTTTAGTGTGTTTTTCTCAAACATAACACTCCAAAAAAACTTGTTAGTGTAACACTCTAATATAACATACAAAAAAAAGATGAATTTTTATATTAGAATCTTTTTATTTGAAAAATATTTCAAAAGGAATACGAAAATGACTTAAAATATGAGATTCTTCAAACATTTCAAAAGGAGTATAAAAACTCTTTAGTAAGTTTTGAACAAATATATAATTTCAAACTATAATATTCCAATGTAACAATAAAATAAAAAAATCTTTAGTGTGTTTTTCTCAAACATAACACTCCAAAAAAACTTGTTAGTGTAACACTCTAATATAACATACAAAAAAAATCTCTTAAAATATTTTTTCCAAACGTAACACTCCAATATAACACTCTAAAAAAATTTCTTAGTGTAACACTTTAACGTAACATATAAAAAAAGAGCATTGATACAGACCCCTCCAATCACCACCCCCTCCAAGCACCACCCCCACAACCCCCATATACACGTGGCGGATGGTGATTGGAGGAGAAGGAAAAAAAAAACAGCAGTGATTTAGACCCCCTCAAACTTCAACCCCCACCACCCCCACACACACATGGCAGGTGGTGATTGAAGGAGGAGAAAAAAAAGAAAAAGAAAAAGAAAAAGTGACCAATCAAAAAAGAAAGGGGGTCAAAAGGGGGTGGGAAAAGGGGATCCCAATCTTTATTCAAATAAAAAACAAAAGAAAAAGTAGCCAATCAAAAAAGAGAGGGGGTCAAAGGGGGTGAGGGGAAAGGAGTCTTAAACATTTTTATAAAAGAAATTCTTAATATACTTTTGTCAAACGTAATACTCTAATATAATTCTAAATGATATTGTTCATGCATGCAGAAGTTGCAATTCAAGCCATTGTAGAACTTGATTGTTTTGGAAAAGTTTTGAACATATTTTGTGGCCTTTATAGAGAACCATTGTAACGAATAAACTCATCAAGCATGTGCCCTATGTTACTAAAAGCATCTCTAGAAAGCTCTTGAAAAAAAAGTTTATTGGTTATTACAGATAGTATCATCTTATTTTAGTCATTCTAATAAACTAGTTATTACAATAGTTATTGTAATAATTATTTTAATAAAATTCTTTAAGGCTAATTATATTTAGAGTTTTTGGAAGGCTCTTTAAACAATTTGTGTGGATAAATAAGTAAAATAATACTAGGATTAGAATACATAGATTAAAAAAAAATAGAAAAAATAAAGAGTATACTTTATATATATATATATATATATGTGTGTGCGCGCGCGCGTGTATTTCAGGTAGCAAAAGATAAAGAAAATGAACAAAAGATTGTATCTATATCTTAGCTAGTCTATTTTGAATGATGATTTTTTTTGTAATATATTCTTTTAGTAGTTTTTTTAATAAATCAAAGTAAGAATAAACATTATTTAGCCGATCAAAAAATAAATAAATAAATAAACATTATTTATACTATTATATAAGCAAAAACATTACTGCCATTTTGAAACTCAAAATTCTAATATAATTTTATAAAATTTTAAATTTAAAAACTACATTTATAGTTGTATTCTTAGTTCTTTCTATTTTATTGATATTTTTCTTCCGGTTTCATTAAATACTCTAATAATCAATATGGAAAGTTTTTAATTTTTCTTTGATTATAAATATAGCAAAGAATTTGTGATAATCTGAGTTGGCTCGTGTAATCGTATCTATAATTTCAAATTTTAAAAATATTTTATTAAATATAACAATCAATATGGTAAATTTTTAATTTTTCTTTGATTATAAATGTAGCAAATTTAATCGTATCTATAATTTCAAAATTTAAAAATCTTTATATAGAAAGTATAAAAAAAAAAGAAGTCATATTTAATCCATATCTAATTTGAAATTTAAAATTGTTTAAAAAGAAATTCCAAATATAATTGTAATCTTATATAATTTTAAATTTTAAATATGTTCGTTTAAAAATATTGATCAAAAATTATATTTTTAAAAATAAAAAAATATATGTGGTGCATCATTGCACATTTATCATTAAAAAAATATTTACCAATTTAAGAATTAAATAAACAAATGCACCAAGTAATTCATTGATTGGGCATGAACTAATGCAATTCTCCAACGACAGAAATTGAGCAAAAAACAAACATAAAAACTGATTCGAGCTCAATTTATAGGTTATTTTTAATGTTGAATCAATATTGGCATCTTCAAACTACAACAAATGACACTTTTGGCGACTAAATTTTTAGTCGTCAAAAGTCACATTTTAGTTGCTCAAAACTTTTGCTGACTAAAATTTTTGGTCGCCAGCTTAGTCGATGAATGATTGTCAGGAAAGGTAATTGGTTACTAAAAAATATTTAGTCACCGAAAGTTCTCATTTGGCGACTACTTTTTCAATCGCCAAAAGGTTTCAAATAAATTTAATATCGCATTTTTAGTGACTAAATTTTTTTGTCGCCAAAAACTTCAATTATTTAGGACGACTAAAGTTTTGGTCCCCAAAATATTTTTTTGTTCATCTTATTTTTTTTAGCTACTAAAGTTTTAGTCGCTAATTTTTTTTTATCTTATTTTTTTAGCTACTAAATATTTTAGTTGCCTAAAATCTAAGGTTTAATTTTAGCTACTAAAGTTTTAGTCACATAAAGTATGATTTTTTTTTTTTTTTGCTACTAAATATTTAGTTACCAATTTTTTTTTTTGGTTATCTTTATTTTTTAGCTACTAAAAGTGTTAATCGCCTAAAGTTTGCTTTTCTGATAGCTACTAAATATTTAGTCACCTAAAGATTAGTTTTCATTTTATTTTTTTTGGCTTCTGACTATTTAATCGCTAAAAATATTTACTTCATTGTTAGCTACCAATTGTTTGGTGGTCAAAAACATCATTTTATGTTTTTTTTTTTTTAAATTAATTTGCTCACAACTTGTATGTATTCCATGCAACTTGTAGCTTGTATATAAACAAAACAATACATATGTTATCAACCATTCCACAATCTACATCCATTTCACTTCAACCATCTAAAAAGGAATGTTAAATTCCATACAAATCAAGTATATTCCAATTTAAAATAATAATTTCATACAAAATAAAAAATCATATGAAAACCATGTCCACAGTACACAAAAAATATATTAACTACTATGATAATTTGTACCACAACATAAGGTAATCTATATACCACGCCAAAAGTTATCTATATCACACCAAAAATTATCTATACGATTAATACTAATCCACACAAAAGTAGAAGACGACAAAATAGCGAGATTATATAAAATTATATATTATCCTCTGTATACAAAAATAAAATAATTCACAAATCCATATCAAAAGCCATCTATAATATAACAAACTATTTGTAAGCAAAACATTATTGCGCCTTTCAGACTCAAAGTTCTAATCTAATTTTTTAAACTTTTTGAATTGTTAAATATAAAAAATACATTTGTAATTATACTATTGTTTCTTTCAATTTTGTTGATAATTTTCTTACCATTTCATTAAATACTCTAATAATCAATATGATAAGTTTTAAATTGATTGTAAATGCAGCAAAGAACCTGCAATAATATGACTTGGCACAATGAATTGTATCTATAATTTTAAAATATTTATAAAAAAAATAAAAATAAAAATCTAGCCATATTTAATCTATATGTAATTTTTGAAATTTAAAATTGTTAAAAAAGAAATTCCAAATGTAATTGTAGTCTTATCTAATTTCAAATTTTAAAAATATTTATTCAAATATATTAATCTAATTTTTTATTTTTTAAAAATAAAAAATACATTTGAAGTCTAAAAAATTAAAAATATATTTATACCCATGCAAAACACAGGTATTATGCTACTAATAAAATAATGAAATCAGATCATTTGGATTACCATCATTGAATTGATTGAATTTATTTGGAGAGAGATTGCATTAATATTTTACTGATTTTTAAAATAATCCTATCCATAACTTTTAAAATTCTTTTCATTGATTTTCTACTATTGATTCGGTCTTTAATATATCCTTTATTTCACTATCTAAAAACATATTTCCTTTATTTACTTTTCAATCGTTATGAGAGAGAGAGAATTGCATGGGAGATGAGATCACAAGTGGGGTGGCATGCATGAATGGACTGAATAAAAGCGGGTTTTGTAAGCAATAATGGCATACTATTTTTGTTCAACTTGGCCACAAAATATTCTGATTTCTCAGTCATTTTCGTGGCCTTAAAAGAGATGCCATTCCCATTTTCATCTCCTCTACTTTAAAATATATAGGTAAATCTCACGTCTTAAAATTTAGACAATTAAAT